AATTTAGTACGTCACATGCTTTATTTTTGCTGTTTCTTTAGTAGTATCCTGTTGTATATGATCTATGTTAATTGATTGTGGTGTTCGGCCAAATTTTAGATTTCTAGACAGACTAGTCAATTCATTAGAGGAAAAGAAACATCATGAAGTCAAGTTGAGAGAAGGGTTGAAGGACTTGGCTGCTAAACGGATGGAACTGCAAAATTCTCTATCTTCTTCATGGTCCAAGCAAGTAAGTTCTACCTATGTGTGCTTGTTATTTATGAGGGGGTAGAGTTTGTAGTGTTCAACTGATTTTCAAATTTGTAGTATAATAACTACCTTCTCTCTCTCTCTATCCCTTGTGTTCCTGTTGTTTTTGTTGCAGAAGAAGTGAAATTTAATCCCTACACTAGCTTATTACCACGTACACTTCATTGTGGTAAATAGTAACAAGTTCATATATCTATTTTAGCTACCTGGTTGTGTTAAGGGTAGTCAATTCACTATTCTAATAATTTTTTTAATCTCCGAGATGTGTATAAAATAATTTCCTTTTAGGTTATAATATTTGAATATGCCGTGTCAAAAAACTTTGAAACATTCAGGTCCCAGTAAAAGATAAAATAATATAAAAAGAATAGAGAAATCAGACCACGGCTTCTGTCCTCTGGCAGGATTCTCATCTACTATTAGTTTACATTATGTGCTTAGTGAAGTCGGTTTTAAAGAGAGAATCAATTTTATCTAATGAACTTCCCGAGAGAATTTTTTCTTGTCCCCACACTCCCCCACCTCGTCCCCCCGCGCCCTCCCTCTCGCACCCGCACAAGCAGAAAACACTATAAAATTATGCAAGTTCTCTGTTGGGATTTTCTTTCTAGAGTGAGATTCAATTTTTTATAAAAAGGGAACAAGTACTAAATGTTGCATGGCAGATAGCACATACGGAGATAAGAGTGGGTTCATTATCGGCAAAATGATCTTGTTGCATGACTGATTTGCACTTATTTTTTGATAAGACAATTATGTGATGGTTTGCTACAAGAACAGAACAGGGTCAAATTTCCATTTTTCACTTTTAGTTTTTCTTCTACTTGGAGATAGAGATCTGCAAATAGCTTCAGTCTCCAATTTTTTTACCTTTTTAATAAGCAACACAGATTAAAACTCATCTTTCTCTCCATTGTCTTATTCTTAGTTATTTGATGCTCGTGCGACCAAAATCTGTGTTCCTGTATGTGACAACTCAACTTTACATGTTGTTTACCGGTCTTGTACATGAGTCAAATTAACTGTTAAGTGAATTTCAGGATGCGGCTGTGGCAAAAACAAAGGAGTTGAAAAAACTATGTGAGAGTACACTTTCATCGATGTTTGATGGAAGACCAGTTAATATAATTGGAGAGATCAACGCCATTTTGACTAGTGGCGTTGGAGCATGAGGAAGAGGAATTTACTTTCATGATGATCAAGCTTATAGGTGGACAGTGGCGGGCCAAAATAACTTTAGAAAAATTTCTTTTAGTTTTTTTTTTTTCTTTTTCTGCAGTTGTGCCATATTGATTTTACAAGCAGAAGATACCAGTGAAGGCAGCTTTTGTGGTTAATTACTAGCATTACTTTTGAATTCAAGTATGGATATGACCGAGTTGTTAGTAATGTAGGTGACCACTAAAAGTTTGCATAATGTTGCGAAATATCTGATTCACTACTATCAAATATCAAAATCATTAGTGAATAATATTGCGAAATATCAGTTCATGTCGAGACATGTCATTGAAGACAAGGACTATTTTGACTGCGAGGAATATGCGGAAACTGAAGAAGTTAAAGCAACTAGCACAAGTCAACAGACTAAAGGGTATATGCTGCGTGACGCCACTTTGTTACTTGATTTATGCAATTATATTCAATTTGTCCATTCTAACTTGCATTATTTTGGATTCTGACCATTTTGGATTCCTATCATGCTTGAGTTTGAGTTGATTGCGCAGTACGCATGCATATAATTAACCGGCACGACCTCTATATTTGCATGGTTGGCAATGCCTCAATAATGGATAAAGTTGTTTCAAAAAGGGTGTGTTTCTGATTGAAATGAAATGCTCCTGAAATAAAATAAAGCATTGGATGAAGAAAAATTTACTTTCTAGTGAGAAAGATAAGAAGAACAATATATATTTTATAATAAAAATTAATATATTATAAAGTAAAATTAAAAATTTAAAGAAGTTATATGAAAAGGTTTACATAAATTTGTTTATGCATAAATAAGTTAAGGATATACTGGAAAGATGTTATAACCTACCATTTTCTATCACTATTAGTGAAAGTTTAGTATGTTTAAACGGATTTTTCCATAAGAATTTATAGGAAATAAAAATATAAAAATATAAAAATATGAAATTATTTTTTTCATACACTTGAGTGACTGAAGAAGTTCAAACCCATGTCGTTTTGGCAAACGGAATAGTATGTAACTACTACACGGGATTATTCTTTAAGAAACTATTTGACAGTTTATTTTTATGCTCCAAATATAGTATGAAATTATATATTAAATGGGGTATTGGGTCATTTTAATTAGTGATCCATTAGTTCATTATTGGTCCATAATCATATCTTGGTAGATCAATGACCAATTTTGAGGAAGAAAAAGAAAATAATGAAAAAAATATAAAAGGAGAGTTAGAAAGAGAGAAATAAGACAAGGGAAAGAAGAGAAAAAAAAAAGAGTGAAATTCTTTTAAGTGTATAAATACTTTGAAGTTTTTATATCCTTTTTTATAAAATATAAATTTATTATTTTAAATAATTTAAATAATCTTTCAAATTATAAAAATTTAATTTCTTTTTAAAATTTTAATTTAACCAACATGTTTTATCATAAAACATTTTGAATTTTCTTAAAAAACTATTCTAATAGATTTCCCTATTCAAATATAAAACAAATTAATTTTTCAAGATTTTAAACCCTAGAGAAATGACTGTTTATAGTGATTTAGAATATTATAAGAAATAATCAAATAAAATTATATAACTTATCAGCCATAGAGTTTCAAATAATTATAGTAATACAGTTTAAAATTATATTTTTTTCTCCAACCTTCCTACCCTTTACAACTTATCATCCATAGAGTTTAAAATTATATTCACCCTAAAATTAATGGGAGCTAGTATTTACAGAAATAAAATCCATAATTTTGTTGAAAAATATAAAATTTAGGTGACATTTTGACTTGATGGATTTATGAAGTGTTTGGAAATGATTCTAAAATCAAATAAGATTACATCTAACATGAGGTAGTCTTTTTAATTATGAAAATATATATTCATGTAGTGAATATGGAGATTCAAATACCAAAGCGAATGTGTCTTTAACGAAAGTCAACATTCAAAATATAATCCATCTTGACTGGCTAATTTATTCTTCAAAAGAACAATTGAAAATCTGCTTCAAGTTTGAGCATGGAGTCTGAAACTGCCATTATTTTAATTACAATCAGAAGTAGCAGTCCTTGTTTTTTATATTTTAGTGATATTTTGTTATCTTCTAAAATTTTACATAAAAAAAAAGCCTAATAATAGATAATTGATAAAAAAAAATAGCCTGTTCGACCAGCTAGTTACACTAATTAAGAAAATGGTTCAAACAGACTAAACAACTCTTAAACCTTTTTCAGAGGGGAAATTCAAGCTAATCCTTTTCATTGGCGGAATTCCAGCTAATTCATCCATTGAGTTTTTTGTCACGTAGAAGGTATTAAAACTTTGCGCCTTATAAGCCAAAGGCGATAAAAAGAAGAGAGCAGAAAACGAGTTAAATTTCTAGAACGTTTAAAATGTGAACCAGTTAGCACATCAGGCGGATACATAGCTCAGAGCAGGTGAACCGTTAAAGCGGGAGATAGTTGTGTGAAAAGACATGTCAAGTGGATCAAGTTCAGTTTCATCTGCTTCACCACTCTCTGAAACAAGCTTTTGAGAAAATGATACAAGATTGTCCACGATTTCAGACATTGGAGGTCGAAATTGCTTCACGGGCTGCATGAGAGGGGCGTAAGTTTTATTGCATACAACACACGATCATGAGTAAATTCAAGTTTAACTTATACTTTTGGCTAAAACTCTATATCTACTATATCTATAGAGTCATGATTAATTGACAATCCATTATCCTCTACAACCACCTCCAACCACTGAAGACAGTTATCATGTTAGTTGCATAGAAATTAATGATTGTCAAAATTTTTGCATATATAAATGCTAATACGGTAATACCTGAAGGCAGAGGGAGACGATATCAGCATAACGAGAAAGAGCCTTGGATGAAAATGTCCGTTTGATTGCTGGATCCACCATCTGTTCCAAACTGTCACTATCATGAAGCCTTGATGAAGCCCACTTTGCCAGATAGTGCTCTTCCCTTGGCCTGGAACTGTGTTGCATGGAAAACAAAGGTTATTATTATTCAACAAACCTTAAATAAATGAAATGGAATAAGGTTATAGAGAAGCGTATACCCATCGAAAGGTTTTCTTCCTGTTAATAGTTCAAGAAGCAACACGCCAAAGGCAAAGATGTCGCTCTTCGTGCTGCCAACTCCTGGTTGGCCATGGTCAGGTGAACTGTATCCTGTATCTCTAATATCAATCTCGGAAGCCTGTTTTCTTCAGTCAATAAACTAATCAGTGAATCTATGGCATGCTAAAATTAATATCAAGTTTCTAGTTCATCTTGCAATTGTTACTTTATAAATTCAAGCATATTTAAGCCATACCTAGAAATTGCAAAATCAATATTTTACCTCTTTGAACAACAACAAAAATAAAATTTTAGTTGATTTGTGAGTTATCTATGAAAAGTCACATGCATAGACTTTAAAATTTTTTATTTAACTTCTGGAAAAATATTTATTTAATTTTTCTATTTCGGCAAACCAGTTTTTAAATTGGGTAATTTATTTTCATGAGAAATCATTCAAAAGCTACAACCAACTATGAGGTTTGAGTAAATGCAACTGTAGCCATCACGAGCTATCTTTTAGATACTTCAGGTGCAAAATTAAGGTTCCTTTATTTTGCAGACAATACGGTGGATGTTGACTACAATTGCCTTATCGAGGGTGTATAATATAACTTCAGCCACTAGAACCTTGACAGCAATAAGTAGCCTATTTAAATATGATGCTGATTGTTGCAGAAACATACCCGGTTTTTGGCTTTATTGCTTGTCAGTGGTCTCAGAATAGCCAAGCCACAGTCAGTTACACAAGGCATGAGGTTTTCGTCCAGTAGAACATTGGTAGCCTTTAATTTGCCATGGGCGACAGGAGGGGAGAACGTCGAGTGCAAATAGCTGTAAACATAAGTGTGTGTCACGGTTGAGAGTTGAGACATGATTGCACTTCATATTTAACGAGAAACAATCCTGACTATAGCAACATGGAACTTACTCCAGGGCCTGACCAACACCTAGAGCGATCCGGAGACGTGTGCCCCACGATAAAGGTTTGTATGCTGTACTATGAAGAGCATCATCTAGAGTTAAATTTCTGACATACTCAAAGACAAGAAGATGTTGTCCATGCTCCAAACAGTAGCCTTTAAGTGAAACAATGTTAGGGTGCTTCAAACGGGAAGCCGTGCTCACGACATCTAAGAACTTTTCCTCTTCACTGAAAGACATGCCCGCCATGTTGATATTCTTCACAGCTAAAACCTTTTAAAAAGAAGAAAGAAATTACATAAGAAATTGAGATAACGGTTTTGAAATAAACATTATTTAATGTTTACAAGGTACCTTGTTATTTGGAAATTCAGCTCTATAAACAGGACCAAGCGATCCTTCTCCCAGAAGGTTGTCTTCATGGAAACTGTTTGTAACCAACTGAACCTCCGCTACTGTATAAACCTTTATCCTTCCATTGAATCTGTCTCTTCCGGAAAAGCTTTTTCTTGATATTTCCCCAGTTCTTTTATGGGGTTGGGAAGTTAATCGCCTTGGACCCAAAATGGATGCAGCATTATAAGGTGGGATTTGTAGGCTCTCGTCTATTGCCGTAGTAGAATCTTCTGTAAAAGTGGAGAGAAAAAGAAAAGCACGATCAAAGATGGAAACGGATTTACAGAACTAATAATGGAATGACACCCTGACATATGAAAGAGAAAGACTCCTGAAAGTGAAAGAAATTGAGTGAAATTTGGCAATACATGTTTAGTATCTCTAACTTTACACTCACTCACTTTCCGCCAATCTTATTGTATATTCAATTATTTTAGTGTTAAATCTGTCTCGAATGAGCAATGTTTCTTTGAGATCATGTTGACGTTATTCAGCTATGACTGGGTGTGCCTCACCATCTATATGCTCATGCTCTGTATAAGATACCTTTGGTCGCACTGATTGGACAAGAAGGCAATGCACTGTGGTCGCTTTCATAGTTCTCCAGTCTCTTTGTATAAAGCTTATTCAAACGGATCGCAATGAAGAGAGCGAAACCGGTTGCCAATAAAGTTCCTGTACCGACCACAAAAGCTATTCCTCCGGGACTGATATGTTTCTTCTTTTGTTTCCTTACCCTAATAGGAGCGTAGTTCTCGATGGCATTTGCCTGAGTTATGGGTGGGCGACTAGTATTGTGCTCAAGGGGTACGTTGTCCAAGGGAAATGCCCAGGGAGGAGAGTTGTCCACGGTTTGGAACTTATTCCCTCCAATCCTGATTAAGATGTGGAATGTTACTTTCCGATTTATGTGTCCATTATCCAGTAAGAAAAATGAAGGTGATTAAAACTAGTGATATTTAGTTTTACAAACCATAAGTTTGGTATGGACTGAAAATGCTGTGGAAGAAGGCCGCTAAACAGATTGTCTTGAATGTTCCTGACAAAACAGATAAATTAGAAAACAACAGAGCTGTAGTCATATGTTAGGATACTACGTCCTATTTGGAAGGTCTATGAAAGAAGAAAGAAATACAGCTAATTGATTTAGTTCTAGCAGCCGAGAAATCCATTAGTGGTTATATACATACATACATACAGAAGACAGTTATCATGTTAGTTGCATAGAAATTAATGATTGTCAAAATTTTTGCATATATAAATGCTAATACGGTAATACCTGAAGGCAGAGGGAGACGATATCAGCATAACGAGAAAGAGCCTTGGATGAAAATGTCCGTTTGATTGCTGGATCCACCATCTGTTCCAAACTGTCACTATCATGAAGCCTTGATGAAGCCCACTTTGCCAGATAGTGCTCTTCCCTTGGCCTGGAACTGTGTTGCATGGAAAACAAAGGTTATTATTCAACAAACCTTAAATAAATGAAATGGAATAAGGTTATAGAGAAGCGTATACCCATCGAAAGGTTTTCTTCCTGTTAATAGTTCAAGAAGCAACACGCCAAAGGCAAAGATGTCGCTCTTCGTGCTGCCAACTCCTGGTTGGCCATGGTCAGGTGAACTGTATCCTGTATCTCTAATATCAATCTCGGAAGCCTGTTTTCTTCAGTCAATAAACTAATCAGTGAATCTATGGCATGCTAAAATTAATATCAAGTTTCTAGTTCATCTTGCAATTGTTACTTTATAAATTCAAGCATATTTAAGCCATACCTAGAAATTGCAAAATCAATATTTTACCTCTTTGAACAACAACAAAAATAAAATTTTAGTTGATTTGTGAGTTATCTATGAAAAGTCACATGCATAGACTTTAAAATTTTTTATTTAACTTCTGGAAAAATATTTATTTAATTTTTCTATTTCAGCAAACCAGTTTTTAAATTGGGTAATTTATTTTCATGAGAAATCATTCAAAAGCTACAACCAACTATGAGGTTTGAGTAAATGCAACTGTAGCCATCACGAGCTATCTTTTAGATACTTCAGGTGCAAAATTAAGGTTCCTTTATTTTGCAGACAATACGGTGGATGTTGACTACAATTGCCTTATCGAGGGTGTATAATATAACTTCAGCCACTAGAACCTTGACAGCAATAAGTAGCCTATTTAAATATGATGCTGATTGTTGCAGAAACATACCCGGTTTTTGGCTTTATTGCTTGTCAGTGGTCTCAGAATAGCCAAGCCACAGTCAGTTACACAAGGCATGAGGTTTTCGTCCAGTAGAACATTGGTAGCCTTTAATTTGCCATGGGCGACAGGAGGGGAGAACGTCGAGTGCAAATAGCTGTAAACATAAGTGTGTGTCACGGTTGAGAGTTGAGACATGATTGCACTTCATATTTAACGAGAAACAATCCTGACTATAGCAACATGGAACTTACTCCAGGGCCTGACCAACACCTAGAGCGATCCGGAGACGTGTGCCCCACGATAAAGGTTTGTATGCTGTACTATGAAGAGCATCATCTAGAGTTAAATTTCTGACATACTCAAAGACAAGAAGATGTTGTCCATGCTCCAAACAGTAGCCTTTAAGTGAAACAATGTTAGGGTGCTTCAAACGGGAAGCCGTGCTCACGACATCTAAGAACTTTTCCTCTTCACTGAAAGACATGCCCGCCATGTTGATATTCTTCACAGCTAAAACCTTTTAAAAAGAAGAAAGAAATTACATAAGAAATTGAGATAACGGTTTTGAAATAAACATTATTTAATGTTTACAAGGTACCTTGTTATTTGGAAATTCAGCTCTATAAACAGGACCAAGCGATCCTTCTCCCAGAAGGTTGTCTTCATGGAAACTGTTTGTAACCAACTGAACCTCCGCTACTGTATAAACCTTTATCCTTCCATTGAATCTGTCTCTTCCGGAAAAGCTTTTTCTTGATATTTCCCCAGTTCTTTTATGGGGTTGGGAAGTTAATCGCCTTGGACCCAAAATGGATGCAGCATTATAAGGTGGGATTTGTAGGCTCTCGTCTATTGCCGTAGTAGAATCTTCTGTAAAAGTGGAGAGAAAAAGAAAAACACGATCAAAGATGGAAACGGATTTACAGAACTAATAATGGAATGACACCCTGACATATGAAAGAGAAAGACTCCTGAAAGTGAAAGAAATTGAGTGAAATTTGGCAATACATGTTTAGTATCTCTAACTTTACACTCACTCACTTTCCGCCAATCTTATTGTATATTCAATTATTTTAGTGTTAAATCTGTCTCGAATGAGCAATGTTACTTTGAGATCATGTTGACGTTATTCAGCTATGACTGGGTGTGCCTCACCATCTATATGCTCATGCTCTGTATAAGATACCTTTGGTCGCACTGATTGGACAAGAAGGCAATGCACTGTGGTCGCTTTCATAGTTCTCCAGTCTCTTTGTATAAAGCTTATTCAAACGGATCGCAATGAAGAGAGCGAAACCGGTTGCCAATAAAGTTCCTGTACCGACCACAAAAGCTATTCCTCCGGGACTGATATGTTTCTTCTTTTGTTTCCTTACCCTAATAGGAGCGTAGTTCTCGATGGCATTTGCCTGAGTTATGGGTGGGCGACTAGTATTGTGCTCAAGGGGTACGTTGTCCAAGGGAAATGCCCAGGGAGGAGAGTTGTCCACGGTTTGGAACTTATTCCCTCCAATCCTGATTAAGATGTGGAATGTTACTTTCCGATTTATGTGTCCATTATCCAGTAAGAAAAATGAAGGTGATTAAAACTAGTGATATTTAGTTTTACAAACCATAAGTTTGGTATGGACTGAAAATGCTGTGGAAGAAGGCCGCTAAACAGATTGTCTTGAATGTTCCTGACAAAACAGATAAATTAGAAAACAACAGAGCTGTAGTCATATGTTAGGATACTACGTCCTATTTGGAAGGTCTATGAAAGAAGAAAGAAATACAGCTAATTGATTTAGTTCTAGCAGCCGAGAAATCCATTAGTGGTTATATACATACATACATACATACATACACACATATATATATATATATATATATATATA